TGGTCGGAATTGTTGTTATGGCTTTTTCATGTCCTACTGACATTATTATTGGAGTCACGCAGTTACATCTTGACCTGTCACTGCTGTGGTCACTAAAGGTAATTAATATTACTACTGTAACTGTCCAGAGCTAAGCTGGCTGTTGGTCACTATTTACGTGTCTTCCTTCTTGAAATCACATCCTCTAGACTTTCCTTATCGTCTCTGGCTTATTTCTTTTATTTTACCTCACGATAACAACCATCTAAGTAGTTCAACTTGGTACACCCTTTCAGCATAATTTGTTTGCTCCATCTTGCAGGTTTAAGACTGATAGGAACAAGCGAAATTCCTCTAATGCGTTATCTATTAGATCGCTAAAGACTTGTTTGTAGGAAACACTCGTTCTCAGTAAACAAAGCTCGCTCGGGGATGTGTCTGAAAGTGTTTGTGTTCGCTGAGCACTGCAATAACACACGTGTCTACCATGTGGAGAGTATCTATAATGAGGCTCTTCTTTTTTACCTTTAAAGACACAGAGGTGCTCATGTTTTTGTTTATGTTTGCGTTTCTGCGTGTTCGCAAGTGTGTGCTTTCTTGTGGGTATGCATGCTCACGGATTTCTATTTTATACGTTTGCATTTATGTGAGCACGTCTGTTTGTGTGTGTGTGTGTGTGTGTGTGTGTGTGTGTGTGTGTGTGTGTGTGTGTGTGTGTGTTTAAGAGAGAGGGAGAAAGAGAGAGGGGGTAGAGAGGGATGCAATAATGTCCTTGACAAAAGACAGATATTTCATTTACATTCTCTCATCCTCCACCCACCCCCTCACAGGGCACTGCTATTGATACTGCTGACTGAAGTCTTCCAGGTTTTCATTTTCAACATGGTAGTTGACTAACGTTTATAATCTTTGATTTTGGAACGTGGGAAACGAAAACCAGAGCAATATTTGCGACTTCTTGAGCCAAAACATAGACATGTCTTTGACAACCATGGCAGTGCTACTGACTGAAGTTATCTTTTGGCCATTCCCAAGGGGTGGGTATGAACATGTTGTTGTGCACAGAAGAATTGTAAATGGGCTGATTTATCAATGCCACGCTCATATTGTGTCGGAACGACATAGGGAGAACTGCTATGCTGTTTTTTTCTTTTCTCGTCCTTACTATTTCCTTTTCACTCCACATCTATTTTGTTCGTTTGTCACTCTCTTGTGAACTGCTATTTCCGGGGTGCCTTGATAGTCGAAGCAGACATTGTGCTGTCGAGGCAAGAGAGGTGAGCAGAGTGAGCGTGATTCCCCGTTTGAACTTCTTACTTCACATCCACCCCTTAGCTCTCATAATACGACTTTATGCAGTTGCGAGCGCCGTAAAACCTTACTGAAACAACAACTAAAAATCCCCCCCCCTCGCTGGAGTCGAACTTAGGTCTCCAGCATGCGCCGCGACACGCCTAACCACTATACTTTACACGCAGGTAGAAAGTAGAAAACAGAGG